GAGTTTTCTTTGGCTTTGTGAGAGAGATGTGCAAGTTTGTGAGTTTGGGTTCTTCCCCCATAACTTTTCACTGATCGGTTTTTTATGTTTTTCCAAAGACTCTTCACTGTTCTTTACTCATTACTCCTTGATGGCATGTTTATTAATCCGTAATTAGATTAGGATGAATTGAATTGAAAATGAGCTGGATTGAGGAGAATTAGATTCCAGATTCCTATTCAAGTTGTTTACTAAACCATATGGATTGAGGGAAGTTAGATTTTGAATTTCTATTGAAGTTGTTTACTAAACCATATGGAATTGGGGTAGGAGTGATTCTAATTACTAAAATGTCCTCATTGTTGGGTTAAAGTATATGACAAAAATTTTAAAATTTTAAAATTGTGTGAGGATATAATGGGTAAAAAGATAAATTTCTAATAGGTTTGTTATCTAGGAATTAGAATATCACTTCCCACCTAAGAATTGAATTCCTCCAAAATCAGGAATTCAATTCCTAATTTTGTGTGGGCCCCACCTACTTTGATACCCCATTGAATGTTTTGGGCTTTTTTTTTATGAGGTTTTGAGGTTGTGTTTGTCTTAAGAAATCAATGACATTTTTGTAATTTAAAAAAAATTAAAAGCCTTTTTACTATGTTGTAAATGGGCTTTGCTTGTATTTCTAAAGTCCATTTCATATATGACTTTTTTTATAATTTGGATTCCTATATTGGGTCTTGAATTTCCCTAAAACTAATTCTTTTGTTTTGAAATATATGTCCAACGACCCAGGTGAAGTGACAGCCACTCCCAGGTCTCTTTGGCCTTCTATCAAGCGCATACGACGATCCACCAATAACATCCAATCAAGCTCTCACTTTTATCAATTTCATTCCATTCAATTCCTACACAAAATGCAAAATTTCCAAAGAGACGAAGACTCTGACTGCAATCTTTCAAACCCCAAAAGTCTTCCCAAACCGTCTTCCAATTAAGAAAATGAAGACAAAGACTTTGAGTCAAGTCAAGAAAAGTTACTAACTTAGCATACCAACGGGGAAAAGCTACCATACATATACATATAGGAAGGAAAATACTTCTCTCTCTTCTTGGAAGTAGGAGCGAAACTTCTACTTTCTAGTTTGACATGTGATTTGCATACCTTTTTACGGGAAATGATAGAAGCAGTGTCCATATAGGAATATTATTGGTTTTTATTTTAATTTTCTTTAATATGAAAAGTTGTTAATTTACTATATGCTCCTTATTTAATAAAAAATACTTTTGATATTTTGAATGATTCAGTGTATTTGTGAGCATGAATTATTTGGTCACAATAAATTACTGGCCTTTTTTCTTCTTGTAGTGACCCACTGAACATGCACCAAGAAAATAAAATATATAAAAAAAGTGTCCAGCATATAGTGCATTTCCATCCATTTCATTACTTCGGTGCAGAAAATTAAAAAATTACATTTAAAGAGACAAAGACTTTGACTCGTGTATGGAAGGCTCCATCCATTTCATTATTTGTACAAGTCTTTGTCCATAGAATAAGACAGCCACATGAGGTGAAAGAGGTACATTGGTAAAAAGAGAATCTGAACCCCTAGGTGATGACTTATTTTCATTTCATTTCATTAGTTCATCCAGAAAATGTAAAATTGGCATTTAACTTTAGAGAATGAGAGACAAAGACTTTGACTCAAAAGAAAAGTGATGATACAAGAGATCCGAAAGACCTATAAGAAAGGCACTGCCCATACGAATAGCACACAAACAATAACCATGAGATCTTTAACTTCTGTTAAAGTATGCTTCCTGGCTTATTGCCTTACCTTCTTGTATGTTTCATCACCAAATTGGGTTGCTTTTGCTTCTAATACGGAAGCAAAGGCTCTTCTCAAATGGAAAGCTAGCTTATTTCAAAACAAGGCCCTCAATATTCTCACCTGGCGGTACCCTCCCAGTAATAATGCCACCAATTCTTCCACCAATCCAAAAGAACATACAGTCACATGCACTTGGACCGGTGTTTCATGCAACACAGCTGGAAGTGTTAACAAGATAAACCTCTCCACTTGTGGTATACAAGGTACGCTACTTGAGTTTTCATTCTTGTCCTTCCCGAATCTTGAACATCTTGACCTCAACAGGAACAAACTCTTTGATGCCATCCCACCTCAAATCAGTTACCTCTCCAAACTCCACTATCTTGATCTCTCTCTCAATCAATTGTCCGGGAGAATCCCATCAGAAATCGGTCTCCTAAGAAATCTTACCTTTCTCGGTCTCTATGAAAATACATTCTTTGGGGATATTCCCAAGGAAATAGGTAACCTCAAATCCCTTGTGGAGCTATATTTGTATAAGAATAAAATCAATGGTTCAATTCCACGATCACTAGGCAATCTAACAAGCCTTACCCATCTTTATCTCTATACCAATCAACTTTCTGGTTCTATTCCTAAGGAGATAGGTAACATGGAGTCTCTTGTAGATCTAGAGTTGTCCTCCAATACTTTAAGTGGTGTCATCCCTCCAAATATTGGTCACTTAAAAAAGTTAAACACTTTGTACTTGTATACCAATCAACTCTTTGGTTCTATTCCCAAAGAGATAGGGAACTTGAAATCTCTTGTGGATCTACAATTGTATGAGAATCAGCTCAATGGCTCAATTCCAAGATCACTATGCAATCTCACAAGCCTTACCAATCTTTATCTCTATGCTACTCAACTTTCTGGCACTGTTCCCAATGAGATAGGTAACATGAAGAGTCTTGTGATTCTAGACTTGAGTGGGAATCAACTCAGTGGTTCAATTCCAAAATCACTAGGTCATCTAACTAGCCTTACCCTTCTTTATCTCTTTGGCAATAAACTTTCTGGCATTATTCCCAATGAGATATGTAACCTGAAGTCTCTCGTAGATCTACAATTGGCCTTCAACACTTTAACTGGTTTCATCCCTCCAAATATTGGTAACTTAAAAAAGTTAAACACCCTGTACCTGAATACCAATCAACTCTCTGGTTCTATTCCCAAAGAGATAGGTAACATGAAATCTCTTGTGGGGCTATATTTGTATGGGAATAAACTCAACGGTTCAATTCCAAGATCACTAGGTGATCTAACAAGCGTTACCCATCTTTATCTCTATGCCAATCAACTTTCTGGTTATATTCCTAAGGAGATAGGTCACATGAAGTCTCTTGTAGATTTAGAGTTGTCCTCCAACACTTTAAGTGGTCTAATCCCTCCAAATATTGGTAACTTGAAAAAGTTAAACACTTTGTACTTGCATATCAATCAACTTTCAGGTTTAATTCCCAAGGAAATAGGAAATTTGAAATCTCTGGTGGATCTACAGTTGCATGAGAATCAACTCCGTGGTTCAATTCCTATTTCATTTGGTACCCTCAGCAACTTGGAATTCTTATACTTACGGGATAACCAACTTTCCGGCTCCATCCCCAAAGAGATAGAGAGTCTCAAGAAGTTGATTGGCCTGCAATTGGATAGCAACCAATTTTCGGGTTATTTGCCCCAAAATATTTGCCAAGGTGGAAAACTCACAAACTTTACAGCAAGCACCAATCATTTAACTGGCCCAATCCCCGAAAGCTTGAAAAATTGTACGAGCTTAGTCAGAGTCCGTCTTAACCAGAACCAATTGACAGGCAATATATCTGAAGACTTTGGTGTTTATCCGAATCTTGATTTTATAGATGTAAGCCACAATAACTTGTACGGTGAAATCTCTTACAAGTGGGGGCAGTGCCCACAGTTAAAAACTCTACGACTTGCGGGAAACAACCTTACTGGGAACATACCACCTGAGATTGGAAATGGAACCCAAATTAATGGGCTGGATCTTTCTTTAAATAATTTAGTTGGGATGATTCCAAAGGAATTCGGGAGACTGACTCTTTTGGTGAAGCTGATGTTGAATGGAAATCAGCTTTCGGGCCGTATTCCCTTGGAATTGGGATCATTGATTGATCTTGAATATCTTGACTTGTCAACAAACAAATTCAATGAGTCAATTCCGAGCACTCTAGGTGACTTGTTCAGACTACACTACTTGAATTTGAGCAACAATAAGATGGCTCAAGCAGTTCCAATAAAGTTGGGAAAATTATTTCAATTGACCGACCTGGATTTAAGTCATAACTCACTTGAAGGTAAGATACCATCAGAATTAAGCACTATGGAGAGTCTGGAGAAGCTCAATCTGTCCCACAACAATCTTTCTGGTTTCATTCCCATGAGCTTTGAAGGCATGCACGGCTTGTCATATGTTGACATATCCTACAATCACTTGGAAGGTCCCCTACCGAACAACACTGCATTTCGAAAAGCTCCGCCAGAAGCATTAAAAGGGAACAAAGGATTGTGTGGCAAAGTTGGAGCTCTGCCACCCTGCAATGAACATGGGACAAAAAAGAACCAAAAACGGGTATTTAGAATCACATTCTCCCTTCTAGCAGTATTCATACTTCTATCTGCTTTCTTTACAATTGTCTTTGTAGTGCAAAGGAAGAAGAAGCATCAGGATAAAGAACAAAACAATATGCATGCAGAAATTTCCTTTTCAGTTTTAAATTTTGATGGAAAATCAATGTATGATGAAATCATAAGGGCAACATCAGATTTTGATTCCACATATTGCATTGGGAAGGGAGGACATGGAAGCGTCTATAGAGTGAATTTGCCATCTGGAGACATAGTGGCTGTGAAGAAACTCCATCCGCTATGGGATGGCGAGACAGAATTTCAGAAGGAGTTCTTGAATGAAGTAAGGGCACTCAGTGAGATAAGACATCGGAATATTGTGAAGCTCTATGGTTTCTGCGCACATAAACGACACTCGTTTTTGGTGTATGAGTATCTTGAAAGAGGTAGCTTGGCTGCAATGTTGAGCAAAGATGAAGAAGCAAAAGAGTTGGGGTGGAGTAAAAGGGTGAATATTGTTAAAGGCTTAGCTCATGCCTTGTCTTACATGCACCACGATTGCTTGCCACCGATTGTACATCGTGACATCTCAAGCAAGAACATTTTGTTGGATTCTGAATATGAGGCATGTGTTTCAGACTTTGGCACTGCTAAGTATTTAAATCCAGACTCAACTAATTGGACTGCCGCTGCAGGCACATATGGCTACATGGCACCAGGTAATGTTGTTATTCTCTGTTCTATGTATTTAACACTTTAAGCTTTTGTTTTTAGACCAATGCTTCAGTTTTCTCACTTGTTTTATTTTAAAAATATATATAACAATTAGATATTTTTGTGGTGAATGGTGATCAAAACTTTTTAAATTAATCGTTGCTTTTCTTTTTCATCATCCAGCTTTTACTAAATTCCTTTGGGTATGCCATTCTTTTTAGTTTTAAAAAAGAACTGAATTTCCTCGAATTAGATTGGAAAATAGTCACTTCCCTTCTGTCCTTTTTCTCATAGGCAATGTTTTGAACACTGAAATCTCAGTGTTTTGTACAATTTATTCATAATACAATTTCTTTTATGAGCTTTTTATTAGCAGAGCTTGCATATACAATGGAAGTGAACGAGAAGTGCGATGTTTATAGCTTTGGAGTTGTCACACTGGAAATAATTATGGGATGCCATCCAGGAGATGTTGTCTCATCTTTATCATCTGGGGCGTCATCGTCGTCCTCACCTGCATCACCTTTTTATGATGAAATGCCAATTTCGGATGTTCTGGACCAACGCATCTCCTCGCCTACAAATCAAGAAGCAAGGGAGGTGGTCTCTATTGTGAAGATGGCATTTGCATCATTGAATCCCAGTCCGCAGTCTCGTCCAACAATGAAGAAAGTTTCTCAGCTACTCTCATCAACTCAGAGGCTGCATTTGTCAAAACCATTACATATGACAACGTGTGGTGAATTGTTTGCTCCTGATGGATTCACTACCTGATCAGGAAAAGTACGCTGCTTTTCTGTATTTGACTTCATTTGTGTCTGCCTTGTTCTTATTCTTCTTAGATGTTTGGCTTATTTGTATTCTGCTTCATTCTGTCTTTAGGCTCAGCTTCAATAATGGTTACTGGTATATAGAAATGTTTTTCCTTTTATGTATGTAGTATTTATGTCTCATGTTACCACCTAAAGTATTATGAATATGTTATTGCAATCTTGCAATTAGCCCAACTCTGTCAAACATTTCGTTAAACATTCAGTCATGGTGCTATGTTCTGATGTAAAAGAATAGCGAACGCACACCCAAACTGCAACAAAATCATAACTTAGAGGGCAATTAATGTGATGAATCAATATTTTTTTTGGAGGGACACATTGACACGCGACACAAAATTCAAGTGATATGAGTGTAATTCCCTTTTTTATACTTTAAACTTCATCCAAGTTTAGTTTCAAAAGAAAAACTTGGTTGAAGTTTGGATGGTTAGTTCAATATACAAAATGACGTTTTTCCTTGATAGCCCAAAATCAAAATAACATAGAAAATTAAATTTAGGATCTGCTATAGCTTTTGGTGGAAGAAGGCTCGTGATCTGTATGTACACCGGGACATATCAAGCAAGAACAATTTGCTGGATTCTGAATTTGAGGCATGTGCTTTGGACTTTGGCACTGCTAAGTTTTTCTATATTTCAGTTTATGTCTGCGTTCTTCGACTTGTTAAATCTGTTGCGTTATTGTAATTAAATCTGTAATCTATCTTATGCCCAGGCTCATACTTTAACAAAGGTGCTTCGGACTTAGAAATGTTTTCCCTTGTGGGAAGGGAAAAAAATGAAACAAATATTTCTATGTTTTTCCATTGGCCTACTTGGCAAAAGAATAAACAAATAAATCTTTGTCAAGACTTAAGAAAGAATCTTCCTCATATTCATATGAAGGGAGCCTTATGTCACGCAAATAGTAACCTTTCACTTTCCATTAATTTCAATTCAGTAATTCCAATATTTTTTCTCCCAAAAACATCACAGTCGAGGTACCCTTGATCAGGGGAAAGTCTATGACAAAGCTGTACATACTAAAAAACAAACAGAATCGAATTAGTTTTTTAGTCATGTACGCATTGAGTTGAATGACTCCTTTAATAAGTTATCTTGTCAATTCTTAGTTTAAAAACCATTGCACACGCTCATTTTAAGACTTAGTACATAGCAGCCAAGTCGAGGATAGCTTAGTCTTCTTCATCTACTCATTATGCAATAGCTAAAGACAACTAATATAGAGGTTTTTCTATTTAAACCATGCAGCCAATGAGCTCTAGTCTAGTGGAAAAGGGTCTTGACTTGCATACAAAAGGTTTCAAGTTCGAACCTCCATAGCATCTTGGTTTTGTGTATATGTGAGAAACCTTCATCCCCTAGGCCCCGTTTGGTTCTTAGGAAATGAGGCTTGGGGATGGGAAATCTTGATTTCCCATGTTTGGTAAGTCCAGGCATGGAAAATCGTTGCCTTGCACATGGGAAAGTAGAGGGAAACTGAAGCCCTCCTCCCCCCTTGGGTTTTGTTTTCATGACCATATTGTCCCTATTAACAATTTAGAATTATAATATAGCATTAAATGCATTGTCTTTTTATTTGATTTCATTTGGGTATAATTAAAAAATTAAACAAACTATGTTTTACATTCCTACACAAACCAAACATATGAAAGGAAATAAAGTGGTATTTCTTAGTTACTTTCCAATAATTACCAAATATGGGAAAAGAATCTCCATTTCTCGTCCTTTGAGAAATGACATGGAAAGTGATTTCCCCTCAGATTCGTTCCGTGAACCAAAGTGATTTCACATTAAACCCCTACAAATATCCAAATTCAACCAACAAAAATGTTTTGCACACTAATGTCTTAATTATTTATGGCAAACAAAGTTGTAGGAAACAAATTTAACCTCAATTATGTCGGGAGCATTTTTGCTCACCACTTTAACCCAAGGTGTATGTTCACCACCCTTCTCAATACTTGACATGTGTCCATAAGCATACCCGTAGTTAACTTTTTGCTTTGATTTATATAACTGTAGTTATGCTTATGAACACGTGTCAAGTATTAAGAAGATTGGTGAGGATACACCTTGAGTTAACGTGGTGAGCAAAAATATCAGCCTCTATGAAATTTTAAACTAGAATTTAAATGTGTTAGAAAATATTGGTTGGTGAACTTGAATATTTACAGGGTTTTATTAAAAGAATCTATGAATATATGATAGAACTCTTGTTCTTGACTCATGGGTCATAATAATAGGAAGGAGAAAAGGGCATTCAAGTATCAACCTCATTTCACTGAAGTTTAGGAGCGACAAAATGCAAACTTTCCAATTTTAACATTACAGATAACAGACAAAGACTGAGGGAAGATATATAGAGATAATTGTGTGCTTCTTTCCTATATTTCAATGTGTCAGGCTTCTAATATTTTGTAGTTTTTTATTTATTCGAAAACGATACTAGTAATTCATTCATCTAAGTGTAAGTTTACATCATTCTCTAGGATTGGGGATAGTCAATCCAGGGCCAAAGCACCCCATTCATAGCCACCAACAAAATTGACTGAAGATATGTATGCTTCTTTCCTATTTTTCAATGTGTCAGGGTTCTAATATTTTCTTGTTAGAGAAATTTTATTGAGACCACAATCCAAATAAGAAAAAATATAAAATGAACAAAGCTATAAAAACAAAATAAACAAAAACACCACAGATAGAGCAACAACCTCAAACCCCGGTTAAAATGTTGAAAACGTTCCAAGCCATGTTAACACCATATATGCATATAATTACTCGAATATACCACAAAAAAACTTATTTTTTTCTCTGTTTTTGTTATAATTATTTTATTTTATTTGTGTATGTTTTATGTTATTTTATTTTTCAGTTTTTAATTGTTTATAAGGTACAAATTGACCAATTTTCCCTCTTAGTGCCCACATGGTATCTTTTAAAATAAAAATAAATAAATAACCGATTGTTCAAATAAAAGTTATGTTCAATAGTTTTTTTTATTTTTTTATTTTTTTATTTTAATTTTATTTTATATATATATTTAAAATCAGAAGATATAGCTACAAAGCAAGCAGGCTAATACATTCAACAATTAAGTTGACCTGCGAACTAGCTGCTGGAGGAGAAACTTGGCTCTACAGTTTGCACACAACTTAATCAAGAAAACCACGCGCGGGTTCTCACACAACTTAATCAAATGAATTTGAGGAGATTCCGAGATAAACAAGTTGATGAAAACAAAACGAACCATCAATTACGCATTCCTATTCCATCTTTGTCAAACAACCCAAAAATACAAGATGGTAAAAAAAGAAGATAATTTTTAACAGACTCAAACAAATAAATCTTTGACAATGCTCAACTGATTATAGATGAGATCCGAAAGACTTTTCAATGCTCAACTGAACCCCAAAGACTAACCCACACTATATATAACTAGTACGGCACGGCCCATACAATATACGTATACCACACAAACAATAAGCATGTTTTGTTTGATGTTTGAATTGTTCTAGTCGTGACAGGACTATACCATTTCCTCTGTCTGGCTCGAGCCTTTCAGGGTTAATCATGCTTTGAGAAAATGCAAAAGTTGCAATTCCAACTTTAAAGAAAAGGGACAAAGACTTTCAATGTGAAAACTCCAAACCGTTGTTACTTAGAAATGTTTTCCCTTGACAATAATTTCATTGCCCAATGCCATGGTTTAACGTTCTGTATGTATAATGTGTTTTCGGTTCTAGCCACAGTGGAGGAAGTAAGTCAGTGGGAGTTTTCTTTGGCTTTGTGAGAGAGATGTGCAAGTTTGTGAGTTTGGGTTCTTGATGACTTTTCACTGATCTGTTTTTTATGTTTTGCCAAAGACTCTTCACTGTTCTTTACTCGTTACTCCTTGTAAAATCGCATAAATATCCAACCCACTTTCTGTAAAACTAAGTCGTTGTGGCCACAACGACCCATGTGAAGTGACAGCCACTCCCAGCTCTCTTTAGCCTTCTGTCTAGCGCATACGACGATCCACCAATAACATCCAATCAAGCTCTCACTTCTATCAATAGTTCCAACACGAAATGCAAAATTTCCAAAGAGACGAAGACTCTTACTCAAGGGTGTGAAAACCCCAATAGTCTTCCCAAACCGTCTTCCAATTAAGAAAATGAAAAAAAATTGGAAAGACCTTTCCAAGTCTTGAACTTTGAAGACACGGATTTTATTGTGGAAAAGAGAATAGGCCACATAATAAAATCATGAGACTTGGATTTTATGATTGTGCTCTCTAGCAGATCTACACAAACAATTTTTTTTTTTTTTTTTGGGGGTTACAACAACAATGAAACCTTTGACTTGTTATAAAGTATGCTCTCTAGCTTTTGCCTTCTCTTGTATGTTCAGCTTCTTTCATCACCAACATCACTAGGTGATTTGACAGACCTCACTATTCTCTATCTCTATAATAACATTGTTTCCCTCTTTTCGGCGAGGTGGCTGACGGAAGGAATTTTTTGTCATTATTCTCTTAGATTGCATAAGCGTGCCACCACCAAGCCACTGGTTGGCTTGAATGGAAAAAGTTGGATTATGTGTTCACACTTTTGACTTTGACCAAGCATGGAACCTCCTCTTGGTCTAGGTTCTTTCACTTCCTCGGGGTCGAAGATGGTTAGGTCTCGTATGGGTATTTTAAAGATTTTTTGGGTTTTAATGATAATGTGGCAAATTAAATTAAAAGTGGATTAAACTAAATAACAAGAAAGTAAATGTAAAAATAAGATCGAAGCAACAATAAATGTAACTTTAAGTAAGAATGAAACCAGAACGATATGAACAACAAAGGCGATAAAATAAATAAATATGAAATCAAATTAAACTTAAAGTAAATTCGATAACAAAAAGTAAAACAATAAACTTGAATCTTAAAACAACGTAATGAAAAATGCAAGAAATTAAGGTCACACTAACGAAAGGGAAGAACCGATCTAGTCTACTTGCTTAGAAAATAAAAACCTAGTCTAGGGATAGAAAAGTGAAAGACAAAAAGTAGGTTTTTGTGTCTAATGTTGGGGTCCCCTTTGAGTTGATTAAGGTATATGCCAATGTGGCAACCATAAGCGATCAAAGAAGAGCTATATGCATGTAGAGTTTTTATTAAAAAAAATAGCCAAAATATAACCTGTACTTTCATAAATGTCAATTTTTATAAAAACTTTCAAAAGTAGAGAAAAACCCACTTGAATAGGCTTAATTCCCTCAAAACAAAACCCACGTAAACCTAAAAGGCAAAACCCTATTACATAAAACTGTGAGAATATTTAATATTTAATTTTATTTAGATCATTTTGTTGATTTTTTTGGTTATGCATACAAATATTCAAGTAAATTTATAGTGAATATGTTCGGATATTGTAAACAAATATTCAAGTAAAAAGAAATTTTTATAGCAAAATTTAATGGTTTTATACATGCACCGATTCAAGATATAAAGATTTATTGGTGCGATAGAAGGGGATGCCTGGGGTGTGATTCAAGCAGTCCTTATTCTTGAAAATAAATCGGCTTTTTAACAAATAATGGTTTGCAGATTGCTACTGTAACAGACAGTAGTTAGTTAAGTCTTGCCTTTTTTTTTTAAAAGTAAGGTTTTAGCAACAAAAAAAATTTCGCTTTTGGAAAAAGTCAAAGCTTTTTCAAAAAGGACAGAAAAACCTCTCAACTTTCAAATCAAAGACATGCAAATGTAAAGGATTCCTTAGGAAATCCAAAAATAAATAAGGACAATTTTGTCCATTTTGGCTTCTTTTATAAAATTTCCCTCTCATTTGTGTTTTTCCAAAGTCTCACTTTTTTTTTAGGGTTAATGACAGTTTGATACCCTATGGTTACACTCTTAAGACATGTTAGTCCTTATCTTTTCAATTTTTGCAATAACATACTCCAGTTTTTTAAATTTGTTACAATGTGGTTCTATTGTTAGGTTTCCGTCAAATCTCTTCGTTACTTGCCTACGTGGCACTATGGGTTCCACATATATATATTTTTTAATTTTAATATGAATAAAGTATTAAAAAACCTAAAAAACAAATAAGACAAAAAATTAAAAAATAAATCTCTCTCTCTCTCTCTCTCTCTCTCTCTCACCTCTTTCATTTGAACCCATTTATGGAACCCTAGCCATTTCCAACCCGCCACCCAATTCCACCGTCGATCTTAGTCTCCTCCTTAACCCATCTTTTCAGGCGATATTAGATGAGTTGTGCTTTGCAATTTTCTGTCTTTATCTCGCTACAACTCTAATCTCTCTCTCTCACTCCACTTTCTTAGGTTTTGGTTTGTTTATTGAATTTCTGGGCTTGGTTCTGGTTTTGTTTATTGATGAATAGGTCTGGGTGGGGGGTAGAAATCTGGGATAGAAATCGGGAGGAAGAAGGGGAGAATAAATCTTGGGGGGGGAGAAGAAATCAGGACAGAGACAGAGAGACAGAGACAGAGAGACAGAGAGACAGAGAGAGAAATCTGGATGGAACCTCTGACTCCCTCCTCTTCTTCGTATGGTCAAGTGAAAGGAGGAGAAGTGTCATCACAAGCTTTATATGGAAGTTCCATGGCAGATATTAGAGACGATATACAACAAAGAAAGCCTGAAACTTCCAAATCTGTGGCAAAGAAGCTTCATTTGTTCATCTCTGACAGTTTCTTAAAATACCCATTCGCTGAAATTATTCACTACCTTGATCAAGCTTTTTTCCATCAATTCAATCCAATTATATACAGGCCAAAAAGAAGAGCAAAAATATAACTGACTCTGTTCTAGCATTCTACTACAAATGAAAACAAGTTTCATGAAGGTGACTTTTGATTGAAAGAAAACCAAGCTCAACAAGGGGAGAAGAAATCTGGGATAGAGAGAGAAATCGGGAAGAAGGGGAGAAGAAATCTAGGATAGGGAGAGAGAGAAATCGAGAAGAAGGGGAAAAAAAATCTTGGGGGTAGAAAAATTGGGGATGGATGGAGAGAGAGATTTATTTTTTAATTTTTTTTGGTTGTTTAATATTTTATTCATATTTTAATCAATTTAAAATTAAAAAAGAAAAAGAAAATGTGGGACTCATAGTGCCACGTAGGCAACTAACGGAAAGAACTGACGGAAACTTAACAGTGGAACCACATTGTAACAAATTTAAAAGACTGGGGTATGTTATTATAAAAATTAAAAAAATAGAAATTAACATGTCTTAAGGGTGTAACCTATGTTGCACGGACACTCTGAAATGATGGAGTGTCGGAGTGTCGGACACGCCGACACGCCGACACGCCGACACGCCGACACGGCTCCGACACGCCTTCAGCACGGTCAACGGCTCCGACACGGTCAAGACACGGCAGGGACCAAATTGAAATTTTGAAAATAAAAGTAGGGGTCTAAACGTGATTTTTGAAACTTTAGTGGACTGATTTGAAATAATTTTAAAAAGATGGGTTAAAAGTGGAAAAATAAATTTTTAAATCTAAATGAATCTCACGAAAGTATCAGCCAGCCACTTCACTTCATTTCTTCCG